ACTACAAGGTGGAATATTTGCAAATTCATGACTACCTCATGATATATTGTCTCAAAAATTAACCCTATGAATATGTCAGTGCCATTAGGATGAAATTATTGTGTCACCAACATTTTAACGTTAGACATATAATTTTAACAGCCTCTGTAAACTAATATCCTGGCTTGCTCGAGGCTGCCGTTTTCTCTGACAGTTTCAATCAAAATTAGAAATGCTACTCTGAGACTGAGAGAACTAATAGTGCTGCCTGTTGTGCAGTTAGTTTCCAAAACACGTTATTCATGGTTACATACAGTTTTAGACTGATGTGGGCCAAAGCCTAGCATAGCCTGTAACGTTATTATGACGGACACATTTTATGAGTGAACTTGAGCTTTAAGTGACTTACAGGTTTCTTTGAAAAATACTTTCTTATATCCAGGTTCTTCCTTTTTGCTGCCGTCCTCCTCTCCTCCTCGCAGCGCAGGTTTGCCGCTGCTAAAACTAAACAGAGCTCCCTGAAAGGCTCAGCCAATCACATTGGCCATATTTGTCACATGACGTAGGACTCCAGTAGAGAACGTAATTTAACTCTTTCTGCTCCGCTGGGTGAATGAGACGCTGACAGATCGTTTTTTCTTACTATCGGGATTGTTGTTCTTTACTCGAAGAGATCAAATTATTGGTGGGGACAATTCAATAATCGCAGGATATTGGTGGGGACATGTTCCTTCCATCCATGCCAAATCTACGCCTTTGGTTGCACCCCTAATATATATATATCACATTAAGAGATTTGATTGAACAAATGGGGTGCTGTCAATGCTGGTCTGTCTGTTGCGCAGCATCCCTTCAAGCTGGCCCATCAGCCCAAAATTGCACCAGCCCACAGGGAAAATGACCATAATTTCAAATTACCAGTTCAGCCCTGCTTTTGATGCAAATACATTTGTACCCAGTTGTACAACAGTTAGTGTTTGAGCGGGGGCAGCATAAATGCATCATGCGGATAAGAAACTAAGAAAATCGACAATCGATATTTGTTCAATTCACAACTGATTAGAATTCATAAAAAACAAAAGCTTTTAAAAAAAAGGTTCAGATTTAAAGATTCTTAGTGTCTAAAATAGATGACATAAAATATTGTATTCAAATGCATGTAGATATTGTATACAAAGTACAATTTTAATGGCTAGTGTAGTGGCCTTTTTATTGTTAGAAAAGTAGTCATCATCATCATCATCCTTTATTTATAAAGCCCTTAAAAACAACCGCAGCTGACACAAAGTGCTGTACATAGGAACTATATAACAAAAGTACATAAGATATAAATAAAAGAAAAAGTAAAGTAATTAATTAAATTAATAATTTCATTACAAGAGAAACTAAGTTTCACTGAGGTTTAAAGCCAAAGAATAAAAGTGGGTTTTAAGACGCGATTTAAAGGTAGACAGTGAAGGGGCCTCTCTAATGTGCAAGGGCAAATTATTCCATAATTTAGGACCCACGATAGAAAAGGCCCTGTCCCCTCTGAGCTTCCTCCTGGATCTCGGTACCTCCAGGAGCAGGTGGTCAGCTGACCTTAGAGACCGACAGGGTGTGCGGAGATGAAGAAGTTCAGAGAGGTAAGGCGGGCAAGATTGTGAAAGCATTTAAAAACAAACATGAGAATTTTAAAATTATCTTTAAAAGACACAGGCAGCCAGTGCAAAGAGATAAATCCAGGAATTAAGCTCTTCTGTGACAGAGGAAACAAAGTCAGAAGGGCCACAGAGCTGATTAAAAGCAGCAGAAAAAAGCGCGGCAGTGGAGGGGTTAATAACCCGACAGCGCCGAGCAGCAGCACGAGATTTAACTGCAGTATGTGTAAAACCAACGTTGAATAACACAGGCATATGATCTGAGAGTGCACAGTCACAAATCTAGTTAGTGACAGGCAGACCATATGACAGAACAAGATCCAGTGTGTGTCCATGCTCATGTGTAGGGCCAGGCACGGACTGTACCAGGCTAAAAGAGTCAATAAGGCTTTAAAAAGTCATTTACCAGTGGCTTATCAGGGCAACATACATGCATATTAAAATCTCCAACAATAAGAACACTATTAAAGTTGGGCATAATCTCATTTATGAAGTTGTTATTGTATTTCGGGGGACGATAGATGACAGTGCAGAAAACCGTGTTTGAGCGACTCACCTAAAACAAGGTAAGTTCGAAGCTGGAGAACGAAGGCTGTAGAAAACACTGCTTACATTTGTGATCCTTTTTGTAAACAGTCGCTGTGCCTGCACCTCTGCCTGATGTCCGTGGCGAATTAAAATAGCACAATCCATTGGTAAAAGTTCAGATAGAGCACTGGACTCACCAAACTCAGCCACGTCTCAATCACACACAGAAAATCAGATCACGGGAACTGACGAAGTCCCAAAGAATAAAAGTTTTGTTTAAAAGTGATCTGGCGTTCACCAGGGCAATCCTGGCAGGAGCTGGAGCTGGAGCACCGGTTTCAGTAACTCGAGAAACCCGACGCAGCGATCTCAGGTTTCGATGATGTTGACGGCGGAGGTTTAGCCTGGGAGGGCATGGGCAGCGAGGCCAAGGAGCATCATCAAAGCCGACCACAGGCACCAAACAGGCATCAACAGAATCTAGGAAATGCCGAGATACAAACAATCTTGGAAATAATCCATGCGCTGGTCGGAAAACAGCAGAACGATTCCTCAGTTAAACCTTTAGCTTCACCAGCCAACCGCTTCATTTACCCCGGCGACGATAATGCCTTCGCCGAGAAGGTAGCCTAGGAACCCGGTACAGGTAACCCGGGATTGCCGATACAACTGGGGGCAGGGGTTGCTGCCCACCAGCTCTAAACGACACAATATTTTGGACCACAGGTTGGAGGTCCAGTAGTGTCTGGCGATCATACTTTAGCAGAGACTTTGTTTCGTGGATGACAAAAGTTAGAAATAATATAAACAGGAACAAACTTGGCAGTGACAGACGAGCAGCCACACACACCGGCGCCATCTTGATTCACCCATGAACAAAATTATAAGGCTGTTCTAACAAATGGATTTACATCCAGATGGATGTCACCAATCTTCATCCAGATGGATTTTATATAAAAAAAATGGGCCACTTTCCGTGATGTACAATTTTCTGAAGATTTGATATGTTCTAATTTTGTAGGGACTTTCACGAATGATGAATTCTGATTAGGGCTGCTCAATTAATCGAATTTTAATCACGATTACGATCTGGGCTTTCAACGATCATTAAAAATGACTGAGCCGATTATTAGCCCCTCCCTAATTTATCCGCGACACCTTAAAGGCCGGTCCGTGAAAATATTGTCGGGCATAAACCGGTCCGTGGCGCAAAAAAGGTTGGAGACCGCTGATTAAGAGGACCCGAGGGAAGCTCGGAAAGCTAAGCAGAAGTTATTTGGAGAGTGGCTGCCGTTGGTTGAAAAGAGAGTTTAAAAAAAAAAACTTCAGTGGTGTTGCACACTATTTTATATTATTTTTTTACAGTCATTGTTAACCCTTTAAAGCCGGTCAGAGCAGCACGCTCCGTTTTACGTAACTATTTTTAAATCCCTGTAGAACCTGAACCGTGTAAGCTAGCGCAATAATTTGTTTTGCATATGAAACCGGAGGAGTTGTACTTACATCTGATGCCATCAGCTTGTCCTCGGTCACGGTTTCGTTCCACATATAGCTTTGCAAAAATTGCATAAAAAGCGCTTGCAGGAACAAAAACATAATATTCCAGAAACACGCTTTGCCGTTCCTATCAGCTGTTCGTAACACTTCCCACAGTGAAATGATGCACATGCTGTTTTCTTTGCAAATTTGCATCATAGGATTGTTTTTTGTTTTTCCTGCAGTATATAAAAATTGCTGTATCTCCAAAATAAAACTGTGAAGACACTCAAAATAAATTTCCTGTTGTTGTAAACTATTTTTTGCAACTTTATTGTATATAAAGTTTTGAGGGATAAGCCTCTTAAATTTCTCCAAGTAGAAATATATGTAAACAAAACAAAAGCGATTTTCAATTTTTTTTTAGTTTATTGCACTTTTTTGCAATTTATGTAATTACTATGGACTTAATGCATACATATTATTAAAATATGGGCTATAACAGTTGTATTGATGTATAGCAACTTGAAATGCTCCCACAAATGGCACTACAGCATGTAAAAAAAATAATATAAGCTCTGGTGGACTTGGTTCTATAGTAGGTCTTAAAGGGTTAAATAAATATCGTCAAATAATCGTGATCTCAATTTCAGTGAAAATAATCGTGATTATCATTTTTGCCATAATCGAGCAGCCCTAATTCTGATCCCAGAAGACGAGTCTGTTTTTTGTCACAACCCTGCACAGAATAACTTAGTACTGATAAATCATTTGCTTCAAGAATGTTAAATATAACTGTATGAATAGTTACTTGTCAGTTTCTTTAGTGAAACGCTGACAGATGAGCTTTTTGTCAGACTGATTTAGTTTGTTGCTAAAAATGATTTGGTACTGGTACTTCTATTCAGAATTCTTTCACGTCAAAGCTTATTTCAAAATACCCCAGTCTAGTAGTAGTTGTCATAAGTTGTCAAAGTACCAAAGATCATACAGTATATCATAAAAAGGAAAGTTTCCCTCTAACAAATCTACATGTATTTGTGCTTTTGTAGAGCATCTTTGAATTATAACACACCTCTCATAAAACATTTATGTCTAATTGTGAATCATGCTTTGTAAATATATGTTTTATTAAATGTATTTTTTTCAGAATGTATTTTTACCCAAAGATAGATTACTATGCAATACTTTTAGTAGCCTAGACTATTTGGGATCAAACAGAGCGACGTACAATGAATGAAAATGTGTTTGTTATTCTTGCCTGCCTTAAAATGTGAACTCTCGGTTTTTCTTTTTCACAGCGACTGTGAGACAGTAGTTGGAAACTGAGCAATTTTGAAAATAAAATACTTAACAGTACAAATAACTGAGGCAACGTCAGAAAAAACATGTTTATTGCTGTTTATCATGTGAGAAGATTAAGCAAAGCAAGTTACTAGATCATTTTGTAAGTGACCGAGTTAAATGAAATTTAAAGAAAGCCAAGTGAAAGTTAAACTATAAAAACATTAGATCTTGCAGTATCATTAAGAACTTTCCCCCACATATCATGCATCGACATCAACAGTTTGCATTAGCATGTATTCATAACAGAAGCCACCACAGGCGTCTTTGCAGTTGATAATGGCTGTTCAGCTAGATGATAACCTTTGAAACAGGAGACTTGGGAGACATGAGCCTGAAAGATTAAGATGTCTGTGGGATGTCTTTGAAGAAGTCAAAGGTTGCCGTACAGTTGATTCTGCAAGAATTTTGAGTAAAAATGTATTCAGTTTTAATCTAAAATGATTCTTAAATAATTAGCTTTTTTGTTTTTTTCCAAACACAACAAAACAAACTAAATTAACTTTAAATAAATCAAAGTCTATGTAGCAGGGATTTGTTTCAAAAAAAGTTCATCCATATAAATAATTCAAGTTCCTTACACTAACCTTGGCATTGTTATCAAGCATAACACAATTAATTACTTTAGAGAAAGTATAACATTTTTAACAGATTAAGTAATAATCTGCGATGGAATCAGTCTGGATGTTGTAATGTTATTTAATGAAAAAAGTCTTAAATTTGGTTGATTTGGATTTTGTCATTCACTGCGACACCACTAACCTCAGGGTTGAAAGGGGATGGTCGTCTCCTGTTACTGTATCAAACAACATAGAAATGGAAGCAGGTTGTTCAAACATAAAGAAATAAAACACATTGGTATGTCATTTAAAGAAAAATTGCATGAATAAAACTCACTCCTTTGGGGATGGACAGCGTGGTTTGGACACAGCTCCACAGGTTACATTGCTGCTGTTTTTACTATGGGGGTTAAAGAAAATAACATGTTAGTTTATGACTGTTTTTACTATGACATTATGGCGGTTGTCGTACTGCTATGAATACTTACGTATAGGCAACACTGATGTTCGCAGTGCAGTCTTGGCGTCTGCAGAATGTATAAATTTTTTTTTAAATATTACTTAATGTGTGTATGTATATTTCTTTTATATAGAGAAAATTAAAAAATTATATAAAAACAAACAAGAAGACTACAAATACTACCTTGAAAATCGGCTCCAAAATGACTGCCTATAGAATGAAAATAATAATAATAATAAGAAGAAGACAAGACAAAGGAAAGATTTCAATTCAGTTCAAGTCACTTCAATTCAGTTATTATTTAAACAGTGCAAAATCACAGGAACAGTTGCTTCTAGGCACTTTACATTGCACAGTAGAGACCTAAAATAGAGCAAGCACTTGGCAACAGAGGAAAAAGAAAAACTCTCTTTTAACAGGAAGAAACAGCTGGGAGAACTAGGCTCAGGGAGGGGCAGCCATCTGCTGCAACAAGTTGGGGGTGCGGGGAGGAAAACAGGATAAAAGACACATTGTGGAAGAGAGCCAGATATTAATAATAGCTAATAATTAAATATAGTGTGGCATATAAACATAAAGTGAGTGAAAAAAGATCAACGAAAAAGAAGTCCTATTGGTCTATTGCAGCTTAATTAGGGAAGGATTCAGGGTCATCTAATCCCACTCTAACAATATGCTTTATTAAAAGGGAAACTTTTAAGACTAATCTTAAAAGTAGGAAGAGTGTCTTCTTAATCCAAACTGGGAGCTGATTCCACATAAGAGGAGCCTGAAAGCTGAAGACTCTGCCTCTCATTCTACTTTAAAATATACTAGGTACCACAAGTAAGCCCACAGTCTGAGAGCTTATACGGTACTATGAGTTTTTCAGATAAGATGGGGCCTAATTCTTCAAGACCGTGTATGTCATGAGAAGGAGTTTAAGTTTAATTCTGGAATTAACAGGGAGGTGATGAAGAGAGGCCAAAAGGGGAGAAATATGTCCTCTCTTTCTAGTCTCTGTCAGTACCTCTTGCTGCAACATTTTGGATCAAGTGAAGGCTTTTCAGGGAGCCCAATTGCAATGAATTACAGTAGTCCATCCTAAAAGTAAAATATGTATGAACTAGTTTTTCAGCATCTGAGACAGAATGTTTCTAATTTAAGAGATATTAGGTAAATACAATAAAGCAATCCTACAAATTTTTTAATATGCACATTGAAAGGTCAAAGGTCAAACCTGGTCAAAACAACTCCAAGATTCCTCACAGTGTTACTGTATGTCAACGTAGTGCCATCCAGATTAAGCATCTGATTAGATACAATATTTCTAAATAGTTTAGGGCCGTGTTCAATAACCTCAGTTTTATATGAATTTCAATGCAGGTGGCTAGAGGCCATATAGGTCTTTAAGACATTTCTGCAGTTTTACTTAAGAAAAAGAAGGAGAAACAACTTTAACAGTAAAAAATTGTACAATCAAAATCCAACAGCACCTGGGCTTCCTCTCATGTTGCCATGCCATGCGATCCTCTTCTTTTCTATTAAGAGTACAATCAACAGGATATTTCCAGTTAAGCATTCATATCAGGGTTACAAATGATGGCTTTCTTTTTTTGTTTTCCTTACCGTGAAAATCGACTCCAAATGGACCTCCTATTTTGAAAGCAAAGCATTGTTAGTTGGTTTGTTTTACTGTATTTCTTCAGTTTGCAGAACACTGATGATATACCTTTTTTCTGGCCTTGGTGGTCTGTCTCTGTCATCTGTGTATCTCCTAAATATTTTGTGAGACAATTAGGAGTCAGTTTTTTTTAAATGCAAGGCACAGTCTATACACAATAAATCACATGAGTCACTTTATTTCATTACATGATACAATAAAGAGACCAGTCACAAAGGAATCCTTCAAAATGGTTACCTGGATAATCTATCCCAAAGTGATCTTCTGTGAAATTACAGGGAGAAATATTTACAGGGTTGTTTTGGTGGAGACGTTAAAAAAGAAAAAAATAACAGTTATTAACAAATTAGCGACATTTTTCTGCCATGCTTTTACAAATATTAGCTCAAACATCACATTTATAGACATCAGGTGTATAAAACAACCATTGCAACCATCAACTTTTTTTTTTATCATGTTGCTCATAAAGCTCATTTGACCATCTCAACTTCATTTTTCTGTGTCAGATATGATATGACTGATAAAACTTATTTATATTTAATTAATATGGATATGTTGTTGAAGCAGGCTCTGGATGCTTTTAGATTCTTTTGAATCATTTTAGAACATCTTTAAAGTACGAACTCCTGTATTCAGTTGTGATGAGAGGTCTTGACTCATGACTGAATTATGTCATTATTATTCACTTTTTATGTTAAAATAACTTGCCTTTTTTCTGGTCGAGGTGGTGGTTTCAGTGATTCATCTGTGTGTTTCCTATATTTGGTTGGAGGAGAAAAAAAACTTTTCAGCTTCAGAGTCAACACATTGTAACATCGTTACATGATATGGCATAAATTTATGTAATATTTCCTCAACCTTTTCCTCCAGATGAACACTGCAAACACTGCAGCTAAGGTGATTATGATGAGAGCCACAAATGAGACTGGAAAGGCCACTGGAGCAGCACTTGTAAACTGGTACATCAGTGATCCTGGTGATGTAGATACATTTGAGGTTAATAAACACAGTTCAACAGATAAATACTTCGATAACATATAGAGTAGAGATAAAGTGTGTCTGCTAACCCTTCACATTTAAGCTGACTGTGTGGGCTTGTTCCCTGTTACGCCAAAATATAGCGTTACAGGTGAGGTTTCTGACTCCATCTCCTTCAGTAACAATAAAAGTGATTGTGGAAGTTGTCTGCCAGGTGCCTCGTGACATCATGATCTCTGAGACCTCACTGGTGAGGTGAGAGACACTCCATGAGAACACCGGAGGATGTGATGAACATGTGTGTGTAACAGAACACGAAACAGTTATAGTTGAACCAGCATCAACTTCTTTTGGAACGGGGGTCATCAATGGTTTTTCTGGAGAAGCTGAGCATGACAAACACAAAGAAGATTATACTTGATACTTAGAAAGCAATGTGTTTGTCACATTTCAGTGATCTACAGTGGGACTCCAAACCTTTCATGATAATAAATACACAGCTGTTGTTGAATGTATGTGTCTCATGTCCTTTCTCTGCATAGAAACAGAAGGGTCCGTTGTCAAAGGGCTTGATGTCATCAATCTCCAGTGAGCAGTTTCCCTCATTTAGATTTCCTAGCATTTTGGTTCGGCCCTTAAAATGGTCAATTACATAGCTTTGGCCATTATGGAATACAATGTCTCCGCTTTTTTTGGACCAGATGCCACGGGTCATCGGTTCATCCTCTTTGTACTGGAAACTGCAGGGAATCACCACACAGGAGCGCGTCAAGGCACTAAATCTTAAAGGGACGTCGGCAGGCAAAGCAGAGGTTGCTGTAATGGGAAAAATGTTAGATGCTGGTTTAAATTAATCCTCTTCATGATGAAAACAAAAAGAGTTTGAGAGTGCTAACAAGTGCACTTACTGTAATTTTCAAATGGATCTCTCTCATATTCTGGGAAAATGACAACAACCAATTAATAACAATTCAACATCTGGAGGAGTATTTTTGTGTTTTTGGAAAGTTAGATGAAAGTAGGTCTCATATATAAGGTGTAAGCCATAAGCCTATTGGTTCAGATTTATAGAAACAGTTATAAGACTTATAAAGTGTTATAAAAATTGTTGGTCCCTGGGCAATAATGGAGACAATCTTTTAAATCTAGATGGAGGCAGGTTTTATACTTTTCTTTCTAGTTTTCTCTTTACAAATGTTTTGTGGCACTTTTCATCCATCTAGCAATCCTTCAATTTTCTTCTGCTGATCCAATTGACGCTCATAGGGTGAAAAGTGGGGTACACCCTGGACAAGTTGCCCATCTATTACAGGTCTGGCACTTTAATGCACATGTAAAATGTCTTTCTGGATACATTATCTAAAAGTTTTGTATTTCTCCCTCTTTTCCCTTCTCAGTGACTTCCAGCTTATGACTCAGCTATATGTTCATATATAATGCCCAAATCAAACACGCTAGCTTTAATTCTAGTCAAGCTGATGGCTTCCTCTTCTGCTTGTGTATGTGCTAACCTGAGCTAATTGGCGGCTGGCTTTATTTTTTTTTTTATTTTTTTACCAATCTAACAAAATCAGTTTTCCAACAGAAAGCTAATAAGTATATTTTGTAAAGTATCAAACAATCAGGAGGGCGACATGTAAGAACTCACGTTTTACAGTAAGAGTTGCAGATGTTGAGAACTCCCCACTAATAAACTGAGCAGTGCAAGTCAAAAGTTTACCATCATCACTTAGGGAGGGAATAAAAGTTAGATTTGACACTATAGTGTATGTATTGTTGGGAGTCTGTTTGGTGTTTAATGAACTTTGCATGTTGTTGTAGTTCCAGATGATACTTGGTGTGTTTTTCCTGCACTTAAAGATCACAGAACAAGTGACATTCTTCGCCATGCCCTCTGTTAACTCCCCTGGTGGTTCATTCATAGTGATTTCCTGAAATGGACCTGAGCAAGAAAGTTAGAGTGAAGCTTAATGATAGCAATTGTTGTTTAATTTCAAGTAAATCCTCCCATTAAACTTACATTCAACATTGAGTGGAATTTCCTTGGTGGCTTTCTGACCCCCAGAGTAGCTAACAGTACAAGCCACACTCTGGTGTGCTTCCTTTACTTCCCAAACTTGTTCTACTCTCCTTTCCCAAATCCCATCAGATACCAGTGTGTCCGTGATCCGGTCTTTTCCAGGTATACCATTTAGGGTTACGGTTGGGGGAGCAAAAATACATGCGTGGCGCACACTGCAGGACACAGTGCCCTGCTCTCCCACTCTGGGAGTACCAATAATATTTAGCTCTGGCTCTGGTACATGTTCTGTGAATAAGAAATATTCAAGAGCTATAGTGATACAGTAACTTCTGAGTTCTGTGTTCCAGAAATATGAATGTTTTCATAATTGTAGTATTTGTTTAACAGCCAGTTTGTGGGAATTAAATGCATTGGTTACTCTGTTATACTGAATATTTTACTGCACATTTGTAAGTTTGTTTGTTTTTTATAGAAAAGCAACAAACCAACAAAATAAAATGACTGAATGTAGTGACAAGTGAAGTCCTGACTCAAGCTTTCTGTAATCATTTTTTGGATTTAAGTTGAAGTGACTTTAAATGGGAGTTCAATGACACTTACCTGAAACAATAAGTTCAGTAGATCCATCATAAAATGAGTGACCTACGGTGTGGTAGGAAGTAATTGCGTTCTTATCTATCCATGGATAAAGTCGGTCATGGTTGTGGGACATCTCCAGCCTTTCAATCTTAAGACTACAGTTCTGCTCCACCACTGATCCAATTAAACTAGTTCGACCATCAAACTTACTAATAACATTCCCTCCTTGCTTAAATACAGCTGGAAATCCATTGATTTGGTACAAGTACCACATCACTTGAAGGTCATTAGGCTGTGAGTTTTTGTAGGAGAATTTACATGGAATGATGAGACATGATCCCTTCAACCCAGTTATGGTGCTTGGAGCAGTGAAAGACCAACCCCGATTGAGTATGTTTCCTGCAAAAAAATTAGAAAAAAAAAACTTTTGAAGAACTATTTAATCTTAAAAATAAATCTTAACAGACAAAACAGACATGGACGTAGCTGCCATGGCCAGAGAAGAAAGAGAAGAGGTAGCAGAAGCAGCAAGATGAATAAGCTGTAAAGTTATGGGGAACTGAAAAGCTGTTTAAAAGCACATTGTAAATAAAGACTTTGCAATCACATTGCCGAATGACGGTCATTCCTACCACACTAACAACATTCATTTTTTTCTGGTATATATCTACTCTAATAACTTTTTGTCTGTCTGTCTGAGCTTTTAAATGAAGATAATTACTATTTGCACTTACTCTTTACCCGCAGCCTGATGCTCACTTCTTGTGTTTGCCCCCCCTTGAATTTTGCAAAACAGGTAACAGATCTCCCGTTGTCGCTGGGTGAAGATTTAAATGACAGTATGGAGATAGTCTTCCACTGAGTCTCCCCCGGTACCTTTTCTGTATTAGTGGATGCTGCCACACTGCCATAGTTCCATGTGAGAGTTGGTGTATTCTTGTGACATGTGTATAAGGCAGTGCATGTTACTTTGCTATCATACCCTTCAAGAAATTCATCTGATGTAGAGCTTATATTCAATGGCGAAATGGAGCCTGAGATATAAATGGAAAATGTTACATTTCCATGTCACATTAAATTCAGTACATGAAATATATTGCACATTGAATATATTACATGGTACTCACATTCAGCATTCAGTGGAATCGACCTTTCGGCACTCTGACCCGCAGGGTAGTTAACAGCACAACTTACATTCTGGTGCTCTTCTTCTACTGTCCAAGTTTGAATTATTTTCCTTTCCCAAATCCCTTCAGATACCAGACTGTCCATGTTCTGATCAATTCCAGGTAAACCCTTTAGGGTTAAGGTTGGGGGAGCAGAGAAACATGTATGCTGCACACTGCAGGACACAATGCCCTGCTCTCCCACTCTGAGGATACCAATAATGCTCAACTGTGGTTCTGGTGCATGTTCTGTTAATTCAAAGCAAAAATTGAGAGCTACAGCAACACAGAAACTTTTGAGTCATTTGCAGGAAGTAATAACTGCAATTAAACAAACTTAGTTAAAAGTGATAGGGAAGAAAAAAAATACAGATAGCTGAAAATAAATATTTCTTCACATTATTTTATGTGTCTCTCTTAATGGTTTGATATAAGTATTGTGGTTTTAAGCGTTATTGAAATACATTTATTGGGTTTAGACAACACTGTGCCAGGAAAAAGCTAAAGATTCTAACCACAATTTATATGCTGAGGCAAATCATTTCAAGTTATACATGCACAAAACTAAAATACAGATAAATAATAAATAAAAAATAAATCAGAGAGGACTCAGTTTGTCATGGTAAGGGTTTCTTTCTGTAGTAACTTGGATGTCTATCAATGGAATTGAAGTTGAGTTGAATTGAAGAAATTAATGAATGCTTACCTGAAACAATAAGTTCAGTAGATCCATCATAAAATGAGTGACCTTTGGTGTGGTAGGAAGTAATTCCATTCTTATCTATCCATGGATAAAGTTGGTTATGGTTGTCTGACATCTCCAGCCTTTCAATCTTAAGACTACAGTTCTTCTCAGTTACTGATCCAGTCAAGCTTGTTCGACCATTAAACTTTCTAATAACTGTCCCTTCTTGGTTGTATACAGCTGGGTATTCGTTCCTCTGATACAAGTACCATATAACTTCAAGGTCTTTAGGCTGAGAGTTTTTGTAGGAGAATTTGCATGGAATGGTGAGACATGACCCTTTTAACCCAGTTATGGTGGCTGGAGCAGTGTAGGACCAACCGAGATTCAGTATGTTTCCTGCAAAAGAGAAGAAGCTTTTGAAGCACTTTTGATCTTAACAAAAAATAAATAAATATTGGCAGCCACCAGTGCTACCCCCTGCCTCCTACACAGCAAATTCAAAAGTGTTAAATGTTTTGGTGTTAGTAGTCTTCTTGCAAAAGTAGAGTTAAT